CTTCCTATCCTCCCTTGCTAAGGGGATTTGATGATATCCCTGTGAAGCATCCATCAAGCTCAACAACTCACATCCAGTAGTTAAATCGACCAACTGGTCGATCCTAGGTAGCGGGTACAAATCCTTCGGGCATGCTTTGTTCAGGTCACGAAAATCAATGCACATTCTCAATTTCCCTTCCGCCTTTGACACCATCACCGTATTCGATAACCATTCTAGAAATTGGATCTCCTTGATATGCCCCGCCCCCAATAGCTTCTCGACCTCCTGCTCGATAATTCTATCCATCTCCGTCCCATGGTGCCTTCTCTTCTGCTTCACCGGTCTCACACTGAGGTCGATGTTTGAATGGTGCTCAATCACCTCTGCATTTATCCCCGTCAACTCCTCCGCTGTGTAAGCAAAAATATCAGCAAACTCCCTCACCAAACTAATTAGCCTCGACCTGATTGGCTCCTCTAGCTCTTTCCCAATCCTAAACTTCCTCTCCTCGCAACCCTCTATCATTTGGATCTCCTCTACCTCCCCGTCGGGCTGGATATCTACCTTCTCCTTACCCTTCTCTACCTTCTGCTTATCCTCCTTTGACCTCGACCCACCTGGTCGAATAGTCTCTTCTTCTGTTGATTTAGCCTGCCTTTTCTCCAACTATTTATTGCTACTCACTGTCGTCTGATAACAGCTCCTCGAAGTAAGTTGATCCCCTGCGATCTCGCCCACGTTTTCGCCCACTGGATACTTGATCATCATGTGGTACGTTGACACAACCGCCTGGAATGCATTCAAGCTCGTCCTCCCCATTACAATATTATAAGATGATTCTGCCCCTACGACCACGAATCTCACCATCCGCAATTTCCACATCACTCCTGACCCCAACGCAAGGGGCAAAGTGATCTCTCCCATCAGCATTACTTCGCTCCCATTGAAACCATAAAGAGTTGTGGCCACCGAATTCAACTCCATATTCAGCTCCCTATTAATCTGCATAAAACATCACGCCCACCGAATTCTCGGTGTTAATGAACACTCTCTTCACATCAAAACCCGCCACCTCCGCGGTAATCACCAAGGCATCATTATGTGGAACCACCACTCCCTTGGCATTCTCTGCCTTAAAACTTATCTCTAGCATGCGAGCCGTAATTCCGACCTCTTCCCTCTTCCTCTTCACCGCTCGAGCATGCTCCTCCCTGGCATTATTTGAGTCACTATCTGTCGGCCCTCCTGAAATCATATAGATCGTCCCCCTTTTCAGTGGTGCCTCAGCTCCTCGCCCTCCTTTATCTCCATCTCCACGTCTCTGCTTTTTCTCTCGACCATCTCTT